ACCTTTAAGAGTAAAACTAGGAAAAAGATTGGGTAGAACATTTAACTGGCATGCAGGAGGCCCTAGGTCTACCCAGCCCTGGAAGAAAGGAGAGAAAAGACAATTCAAGCAACCATAAAAGTACCCTTGTAAGAAGTCTAAATTGGGCTGGAGCAATGGCTCGGTGGTTAAGAGCACTGCTGCTGTCCCAGAGGACCCAGGTTTGATTGCCAGCACCCACCTGGCTGCCCACAGCATCTGTAACTCTAGTCCCAAGGGATCCTCGGCCCTCTTCTGGGTTTCACAGGCACCACATGTACACCACACACACAGGTAGTGTACAGAGCACACACAGATGAAACACTGGCTGTGATCAATCTCCATTGCCAGCTTCCAAATAACAGCATGGAGACACTTTTAATTATGAATGATCAGCCTTAGCTTAGGCTTATTTTCAACTAGCTCCTATAATTTAAATTAACCCATTTATATTCATCTGTGTCTTGCCACGTACTGCCCATCCTGCATCCTCCTGGCATCTCCTCTGTGTGTCTAGCTAGATTCATCCCCAGTTCCTCTCTCTGCCTGGAAGTCCTGCCTATTTTCCCTGCCTAGCTATTGACCGCTTAGCTTCTTATTACACCAGTCACCGCAGTACACCTTCACACAGTGTACAAATATCTCACAACTGACACACAAGCTTTTTGTGCATGTAATTGAAAAGACCTCTAGTTGCCCTTGCAGAGGATCCAGGTTTGGTTTCCACCACTGGCATAGTAGCTCACAACCCGCTCACTTCAATTCCAGCACATCTGACGCCCTGTTTTGTTTTTTGAGGACACCAAGCACACACATGGTACACATATATACATGCTCTGCCAGAGCAGAACTGTGATACTTCTCCCGAGCAGAGCTGTAACATCTTCACTGGGGGAAACCCTCGCCTGCAGGAGCAGAGCTGTTACACTTGTACTGGGATCAGCTTACTGATCAAACACTCATACATTGAAAAAATATATGTTTTTTAAGTGTAAATAATGGGAATAAGCAAGAGTTGGAAATCACAGCGCTTACATCTGAACTGTCAAAAGCTGTAAGTTATAATGTGTATAATTTACTTGTATTTTAAACCTGTAATAGCAGCACTTTGTAGGCAGAGGCAGAATAATAGTGAGTTCGAGGCTAGTCTGGGCTGCATAGTGAGACATTGTCTCAAAAGGGAAGGAAGGGCTGGGGAGATGTCTTAGCAAGTAAGAGTGCTTACTGAGCAAACTGGGTGGGACTACACAGTCATCTGTAACCACAGAGCCAAGGGGTAGAGACAGGGAAACTGGGGTTAGTAACATCGAGGAAGAGAGCTACAACAGCTTGCAGCTGGATATGAGACAGCCAAACTGACTAGGTAACCAGGAAAATCAGGAACTCTGGTGTAAGCATTGCAGCTCGGATGGAAAGAGATCCTGGCAGTTGGGAGCCAAGGAATGCCACAAAGTCACCGTAAGCATAGCGGCTTACAGCCCTGCTCCAGGGAGAGGTTCCCAGTACAAGTGTAACAGCTCTGCTCTGGCAGGCGAGGGTTTCCCCCAGTGAAGATGTTACAGCTCTGCTTGGGAGAAGTATCACAGCTCTGCTCTCCTAGGGGAAAGTTTCCCCAGTGAAGTTGTTACAGCTCTGCTCTGATCCGCTCAGGCGAAAGTTGTTACTTCAGGGCTCTGCTCCCACGAAAATGTCACACCACACAACTTACTCAAGATTTATTGGGAAGGAAGAATCCCAGAGGGTGGCTGCCTTGGGTATTAAACAGCAGCAAACTAAACATGATATAGACCTTATATAGGGTTTCTTGGGGTCAGCACTTTCTGGGTTGGTTTGGGATTGGTGGGGTTTTGTAGCCTGACTCCAGGGCAAACTCAGGGATTGGTGGGATTATGTGCTCAGGGACCTCAGGGATTGGTGGGATTGTGTACTCAGGGACCTCAGGGATTGGTGGGATTGTGTGCTCAGGGACCTCAGGGATTGGTGGGATTGTGTGCTCAGGGACTGGTGAAATTCTGAAGCCTGACTCGGCCAAGCTCAGGGATTGGTGGTGTTTCAAACGCTGGTCCTGGGGTCAAGTCCAGGTCAGAGTGTTTTCCCTTGGCCCCTTTTACCCTGGGAAGCAAGTTGATGTTTGCAAGTTGGCTGGCCAGCTCCATGAAGAAGCCCTGGAAGACACACACAAGGCATGGTGCTTTCAAACTTTTACTTTCTAATGTGGCTAAATATAACAGACTGAACTTTAGGTGAGGACAGCTTCTAACACTAAACCTCCAGAGGACACCACCCATAGACATGGAGCTAGTGTGGGGTCACCAAAAAGGACTGCAGCTATGTCTTGGTAACCATGATAGGTGTTATTCCCTACTATGCTAAAACACACGAGAACCAGGAGAACTGATGAATGCTTACACACCCCACGCAGGTCAGATCAGCAACACCTGCAAGATTGGCAGAGCTGGCAACGCTGGGCCAGGCTGACAGCCAAAGAACTAGCCAGGTTCAACAAAGCAAGTCAGAGATGAGCAGAGGGCTTCAGAGGGTGACCACTCTCCTGAGTGGGCCAGACGAACATGCACAGGGTGTGTCAACCTCTAATTGGCCCAGTCCCTGATACGTGCATGCAGAGAATCAACCAATCGCAATAGGGTTCTCTGTTTCTTTGTTTCCTTTTGAGACAGGGTTCTTGTTTGTTTGCTTTTGAGGCAGGGTTCTCTGTTTGCTTGCTTGCTTTTGAGACAGGGTTCTCTGTAGCAGCTCTGGCTGTCCCTTGCTCTGTAGACCAGACTGGCCTCGAACTCAGAGATCCGCCTGCCTCTGCCTCTCAAGTGCTGGGATTAAAAAAGTGTGTGCTGCCAGGCCCGGATAGGATTCTCAGTCCTTGTCCAATATCTGCTCTAAATCCTGTGTGTGTGTGTGTGTGTGTGTGTGTGTGTGTGTGTGTGTGTGTGTGTGTGTGTGTGTGTGTGAGTATGTCCTAGACAACCAACCAGCTCGATGTTTACTCCTCTCTTGGGAACCCTTCCACTCGCTCTTCCCTAGTTTCTCACTTTTCTTTGATTTCTCCCAAGAAAGATTGCTTTCACTTTGCTTGTTTATTCTGTCATTGTGAGAGAATTCGAGAGCCTTGAGTTAACTTTCACTGTTGAGTTTCTGGAGCCCCAAGTCCCTGCGTCACATCTACACATCTAACTGGGTGGAGAAAGGCCCCACTGATCTCAAAGTCACATCACACTGAAAATTAAGTATGGGTAAACCTCGCTCTCCTAAATTTCACGCTGTGGTCTCTTACTAGAGATCACTTCTCCTTGATCCTTGTTTCTTGAAGTAAGTAATTCAGCTGTGACACAGACAGTTCAAATATAAATTTAGCACCCCAGAAAGATTGGGGTGCATGGGTCAGCCCATTGGATTATGTGCTGGAGATTTTTACAAGGTTCTATCAATATTTGTGGAATGGATTTCGTATTCTTAGGGGTGACGTGGCCCACTTACCTCCAAAGTCAGGCACCTGATCTTTCCTTTTACTATAAATTTCCCTGTGATATTCTAGAAAAGTCTACAAGAGGAGTGCTGTCAAAACCACAATGAAAAGAAAGGACTGCATGAAGTCGGGATTGGGACAAGGTCTTGTTTGCAGGTCCTTTGTAACTGCACCAGAGTGACCATTTGGAAATGCCTGGCGCTTAATTCCTGGTCTATCAGAAGGAACCAAAGCTGCAGCATTGGGGGTTTTAACTACACAGGAGCGTTCTCACTGACAGGAGACAGCTACCCGGGCAGCAGGTTCCTCTGTGATATCCCATTGAACTCCTTCCCTCCCAGCCTCACCGGGAGATGCTTAGGAGATTAATATAAATGTTAATAATATAAATATAACACAAATCTGCTATCACCCAGAGCCTAAAAATAACAGTCACCCCTGCTACTCAGTTTTAGTCATAAATATATTAAAAGGACATAGACTACACTTTCACATTGTCAAAATATTTAAAGTACATGGAAGTAGATTTTGAAAATACTGCACAACTTTCAGGTAACTAGAAGAAAAGAAGGAAATCTAAGAGTAGCAGATTAAAAGAAACCACCAGAAAGAGAAGGAAAAATGAAGAGGCAGCCCTCTCTTCTTGTAACTTAGTGTGAACCATATGAGGTGAGGGCATGCTGTGGGGTAGTACCATGGTGTGCAGCTGAGGCATGGGTGTCCCATGCCAGGCAGTGGGAAGGCAGGCGAGTCTCATGGAATAAGGGAGAGAGCGAAAATCTGGAAAGGTTTGCAGTTGGAATTATGGATGTGAAGATGTGAATTCTGAGTCTACACACACACACACACACACACACACACACACACACACACACACACCACGGAGGGGCATCATTATGGATAATAATAGATGCATATTTCTTAGCTTTGTGTGGGGGTGGGGTATGCTTTGGTATAATGTGTGCGTATGGTGCAATGTGTGGCTTGTAATTAAAAAACCCAGAAAGGTCGCTCTCTAGCCCATTGAATGTCTGTAGGCTGTGTGCGTTCCCAGAGTCCAGCTCCCACAAGTTGTCACTCATACTTGGGTGGGTTTTTAGTGACACAGCTGGCTGAGTCATAGGTGCTTCTACGCCCCCCCATCCACACTCACTGTAAGTGACCCCAGCAAAGCTCATTGGTTCCCCAAGCTGGATTTTGAGGGTACCCTTACTTTGGCCTGCGTGGGACAGAGAAGCCAAGTGATTGGTCCTAAGGGTTCTTTGCTGCTTTCCGCTGTTGCTCGGCTGCCTCAGTAGATCTGCTCAGGGAAGAGCAGGCCAGCAGCAGCAGGGTCCCAGCACAGGTGCGTTCCCAGGTCACAGTTAGAGTGAGGATGCCATCCTCTTCCCCAGTCTGAAGCACATGTCTGAGCTCAGAGAAGCATGCGTGCCCGTCAGGTCATAGCTTGTAAGTCTTATAATAAGCCTGTGTGCTACAGGTCATGTGTCCATGTCTCACCATGTCTCCTTCCCAAGAAGGAGTACTGGTGACTGCACTGCAGTGTGCACTGGAATCAGAAAAGCCGTCTTCCTCCACAGAGTGAGAGATGTTCTGCTAGGGACCATGAGAGCAGGGTTGCCATAGTGCCTACTAATCCAGGGGACGAATATCTGTGTGTGTGCTTGTGTTTGGCATACGGGTACTTGAGCGATGGAGGGAGAGCCCTGATGTGGACAGTCGGTTCTCAGAAAGTTGACCTTTCAAACACATCTCAGACAAACAAACGCCGGTATCCCTTGACAACACACTGGAACCTTGGGGTGAAAGGAGATGATTATGATGCAAGGAAAGGACCAAGGTGGCCCAGGCCTCAGTCAGATGAACTCAGTCTGCAGCAACCACGAGGGGGAGAGCATTCACATTGTTTAAAAAACCAAACAAAACAGAAAAAAAGGCCAGGGAAACAGTCTTGGAGAAATGAAGTTTAAAGGATCAAACTTAGCTCCTGAGTAGAAGCGAAAACCCACCGTGCTCCCATTAAAATGACTTCTCAGCGGCCATTCCCGGCAGATGACTTCCGGGTCTACTGTGTCCTGTGAGCCTCTATGTACTGTGCCTTCGTAGGTACCGTAGGGATGGGGGAAGAGCCTTACCCAGAGGAGTTGGGGCACGTGTTGCATTTGGGAGGGCTCTGCTGGATTTGACCTGTGAAGGACCCCGAAAAGGTAACATTCATGTACTTCCTAAGCGGGCAGTCCAAGGCCTCTGTGACGTCAGTGAGTAAAAGTGCAAACGGCCCTCCATGTATCGGAGCACTTTTCAGACAGGTGTACCTGTGAACACAAGTACTGAGTGAGGCGGCCGGATCATGGGACACCCGTTTTAGATTCAGGACATGGAAAGAAAAATCATAAAGAACAAAGGTGTTGAGTGACCCTGCTGGAAAAGGTCACATACAAACAGGAAGCTGCCTAGGGAAAGGAGGCCTCCTGGAGCCTGCTGCTCGTCCCTGCAAGTCAGGCAGGTGTTCCAATCCCGACTCTTACCATTAAGCGAGCCTAAATAAGTCAGTGTATTTTTTTTTTAAGATTTTTTTTTATTTTATGTGTGTGAACGTTTTGCCAGCATGTAAGTGCACCAAAGCAAAGCAGTGCCCTTGGAGGTCAGAAGAGGGCATCAGATTCCCTGCAACTGGAGTTACAGACACTTGTGACCTGCCATGTGGGTGCTGGGAAGTGAGCCAGGGACCTCCGAAAGAGCGCTGAGTGCTCTTAACTGCTGAGCCAACTCTCCAGCCCCCACTGCATTCTTTTTTTTTAAAGATTGATTGATTGATTGATTGATTGATTATGTATACAGTGCACTGCCTGCATGTATGCCTGCAGGCCAGAAGAGGGCGCCAGATCTCATTACAGATGGTTGTGAGCCACCCTGTGGGTGCTGGAAACTGAACTCGGGACCTCTGGAAGAGCAGTTGGTGCTCTTAACCTCTGAGCCATCTCTCCAGTCCCCCCCCCCCCCACTCCCCACTGCATTCTTTTAAAAGCTATCATTCACTATGTAATCTAGGACCGAGCATGGCACCTGCATAACTCTTACAACCACCCTACAAGGGAGGTACAGCATTCCTTGTGTGGTAGACACTAGGTTAAAATCCTTCGGTACTTGATAGAGAGTAGTGTGACAGAAAATTCATTAAGAATCCTCCCCAGCCGGGCGATGGTGGCGCACGCCTTTAATCCCAGCACTCGGGAGGCAGAGCCAGGCGAGTTCGAGGCCAGCCTGGTCTACAGAGTGAGATCCAGGACAGGCACCAAAACTGCACAGAGAAACCCTGTCTCAAAAAACAAAAACAAAAACAATCCTTCGCAGCAGTGTCATAGCTGTGCACACCCTTAATCCCAGCACTCAGGAGGCAGAGGCAGGGGGATCTCTGTGAGTCCGAGGCCAGTCTGGTCTTCATAGCCAATACTGGGCCAGCCAGGGATACATAGGGAGACCCTATCTCAAAACAAAACGAGCAAAACCCCCTTCTTGCCAAGCTGGTGGCAGGTAACAGCTGACTTTGAGATGTGAAGCAAGAGAGCTGTGAGTTCGGAGGCTGCCTGGGTCCCAGGAGCTTGCCTCCCAGCCACACAAGCACTTACGTCCCAGGAGCTTGCCTCCCAGCCACACAAGCACTTACTTCCTAAGCCTGGGTCCCAGGAGCTTGCCTCCCAGCCACACAAGCACTTACTTCCTAAGCCTGGGTCCCAGGAGCTTGCCTCCCAGCCACACAAGCACTTACTTCCTAAGCCGAGGGGCCTCGCTGTCACCCTCACTCACTCCTCCCCGGAAACCCTTTCCTTCCATATGGCCACACAGCGCGGAGTGTGCAGATTATGACTCCCTGCCAGAGTCTGAGACCCAGCCACACTTCCAGGGCGTGACAGGACTGCGGAACCTGGGCAACACCTGCTACATGAACGCCATCCTGCAGTGTCTGTGCAGTATCTCTCCGCTGGTGGAGTACTTCCTCTCCGGAAAGTACATCACCGCTCTTCAGAAGTAAGAGGCATTCTTCCCTGAGCTCTGCCCCACCCCAGGTCCCCGAGGAAGGACCTGCTGGAGTCCTTGTGAAGGGCTGTACAAGCCCGGGCACTGTAGGTCCCTCGATAGCACATCAGGGAGGAGCCCAGCAGGGAGGGCAGACAGAACTGATGCAGGGGCATGGACTGGTCCTGGGCTTCCATAACTGGGGCTTCGCTTTTCATTAAACCAGCAGGCAATATTTGCCCTTTGACCCTCTCTTCTTCCCAGGGACTGCAGTGACGTCACCACCGCCTTTGCCTACCTGATGACAGATATGTGGCTTGGGGACTCAGAGTGTGTCTCCCCAGAGATATTTCTGTCGGCTCTTGGCAGTCTTTACCCGGCTTTTCTGAAAAAGACACAGCAAGATGCACAGGAGTTCCTGATTTACGTCCTCAATGAGCTTCATGAAGCTTTGAAAAAGGTAAGAACTAAGTGCCTGGAGCTAGGAGATGTGCGCCTTTATCAGAAAATCTGCTTGTGTGTGTGTGTGTGTGTGTGTGTGTGTGTGTGTGTGTGTGTGTGCGTGTGCGTGTGCATGTGTGTCTCCTGCCTTGCACTGAGTAGGGCAGGGCTCTGGGTGCTGAGGGTCCTGACAAAAATGTCCGGGTTAGGATATTTGTTGTTTATTGGTTGATGTGCTTTTTTTTCACTTAAAAATATTTTTTTAATTTTTATTTTATGTGCATGTATGTCTGTGTACTACTTGCTTGCCAGGTTCTCATGGAGGCCAGAAGGGGTATCAAAGCCCCTGTAACTGGAGTTAACAGGCAGTTAAGAGCCGCCACGTGGGTATTGGAAGAGCAGCCAGTGCTCTTAACCATTGAACCATCTCTCCAGCTCCTGAAATGTTTTTTTTTAAATATCTATTTTTATTTTATTTTTTTCTGAGACAGAGTCTTAACTGTGTCCAGCAGGTATATGACTCAACAATCTTCCTGCCTCAGCCCCCTTTTCCAAGTGCAGGTAATACAGGAGAGATCTGAAATACTCACATTCCAGCTTTTCTTGGAATTTGACAGATGGCCAATAGCCCAACAGTACTCCAAATTTGCTCAGACATTCAAGGGGTATTAGCTCAAATGGTTCAGCAGAAATCAAGTAGCTCAAAAAAGCCTCCAACCCAACAAGAAGGCAAAGCCCTGGGCAAACTGACCAGGAGAGATTTACCTGAGTTCAAAACAATGTGTCTAACTACTGGTTCGCTTTGCTGAATTCGGGTCTGAAGCAGCTCACGCTGGCTGAAACCAAAAATCAGAAGCCCCCCAGGAAAGCGTTCTAGGGGACATATGGGGCCTGTTGAATCTTCCCTCTCCACTCAGGGCCAACTTGCTTGCAAGTGCCAGCCTAGCTTGCCAAATTATTACCAACGCTCTTACAGGGTCAAAGCCTTAGCAAGCTCGGTTCAGCCTCCACCTCCTTCAGTAGGACAATCAGAGACAGTAACACTGGGAAGACCCAAGAGGTCCATCCTGTGGGGCTAGACTGGGAAGAGAAACCAATAAAAAGGTTCAGTGGTCCCCATGTCAACTTTGGGGTAATGACATGGGGTTTACGTTTAAACAGGTGGCTAGAACTATACATAACTAAGAGTCTGCTCAAAGCGAGTCCCGCCCGTCACCGACCCCTCATTATTTCCGTGCCCATCTTTCTTACAAGACAGTAAGATAAGTTGTTGCAACTGTGCTTAATCTCTTCTGGGAGACCAGCTCTTCCTCCACCCACACCAGGCTTCGTTCAGCCTTGAGAGCAGCAATCCAGTATCTCAAGGACCATCGTTTTTAATATTCTGATAGCCAAAGGGAGGGCACAAATGCCTCTCCTTGAAGTATCTCTTCTCCTGCCAGGGCAATTCTTATCATCCTTTAGTTTCATCTAGAAAGGGAAATAGCTGAGTTGTCAAATATCACACCTGGTACATGCTGCCACGGTCTAAGTGTTCTGGCTGGATCCAAACTGTTTTCTGGTCAAAATAGGAAAAGCAGCCTATTTTGCATGGTTCTTATAACCACTAGATGACCAAGAGGAATTTGTCCCTTTCCACAGCACTGCCAGAGAAGAGCACATGAGCAAAGATCTTCCCAACGATGCTGCAGGAAGGTGATGGCCAGCGAGACGTCCATCGTCACCCGGCTGTTTGAAGGACAGCTCAGTTACAGCATCACATGTTTAAAGTGTGAGAACTGCACCTACAGGAACGAAGTTTTCACCGTCCTCTCCCTCCCCATCCCATCCGAGTGTGAATGCTCCCTTCAGGTAGGAGCCCCAGCTCCTGAATACATGTTCTGGTTTTTCTTGTTGTGTCATCCAGGCCAGCCTGGGACATTGGGCTCAAGTAACCCTGCCTGAGTCTTACAGACAGTGCGATTACAGTCATGGCTGTGATTTCCTACAATTTTAGTAGGAGACGGCTGTTGTATGCCTTAAAGATATAAATAAAGTCCATGAATGAACAGCATTTTTTTATTTTTTGGAAAAGCAACCTATGGTTAATAGTTACTGTAAATTTAGTTGTATTTCTAGAGGTACTCAAGACAAAGCCTCACTTAAAATTATAAATATGGGTGAGGTTTATTCAGTCTCTTGAGATGGGGAGTTTGTGACCTTATGACTCACTCCCACCTCCATACTCTATACTTACGGCTGGGACTAGCTATAATGGACTCTTTTATAAAGATTGATTTTTATTACACAGTGTATGCATGTTTGCCTGAATGCATTTCTGTGCACCCTGTGCATGCTTGGTGCCCAAGAAGGCCAGAAGAGGGCATCAGATCCCCTGGAACTGCAGTTAAAAACAGTTGTGAGCCACCACATGGGTGCTGAACCTGGATCCGCTGCAAGAGCAGCCAGTGTCTTAACCTTTCAGCCTCTCCCCAGCCCCTAAGACTCTTTCAGTCTTACCCTTTGGATGGAAGCTGTGGGCTCTGTTGGGAAGAGAGAGGGATCTGGTGACTTGGTTTGCTTCTCTGATTTCCTTCACCACAGTGCTCAGAACTAATCTCTAAGTGGGGAGGTGGGTTGATGTGGATACAGTAGAGGAAGGAAGTGGCTGGTCAGAAGCAATCAGGAACCAGGGAACACTTTTCTTGCAGAGTTTCGCACAAATTTTTCTTTTGAGATTGAGAAAACATCTGCTGGCAGTAGTTTTCCTATGTATAGTCGGGGAACAGAGCCCTATTACTTTTTATTTTGTTTTCCCTTAGATCAAAAGGCTAAAGATTACTGGAAAGAACTCCAGAGTCTTGAGGGAAGCACTGGCAGGTCTAAGGAAACAGTCTGTACCCGCCCCCCTCCTCTAAACCAAGAGCTTGCAGAAGCAGGGCCTGGCTAGAGAAGTCATCTCCTGGGGTGTGCACTCTGACTCATCTACTGTAAATTTGTCACCTCAAACCATGGGATATGATCGATTTTCAAAATGCTCTCCCCTCTGTTGAGTCAGCAGATTTATAACAGAAAACAGATGTCTGATTTGTTATTAGGAATTTCAAAGTCTGTATTATTCTGAAATAAACCAGAAAAGTTAAAGTGATAATTCATAGATTATTAGTGGGAAAAGAACCTAAGCCCATCTCAGCAGCTCGGTGAAAAAGCATCACTTGTTGCTAGCCAGATTTTTATTTATTATTCTTAAGACAGGGTCTCACTGTGTAGCCCTGGCTGACCTGGAACTTGGTATGCAGATCAAGCTAGCTTTGACTTGAAGAGCACCTTCTGTGTCTGGATGAAAGGTGTGAGCCACCAGCCCCAGCTCAAAAAACAAACCCCAGCTCAAAAAACAAAAAAAACGTACTAGGTAGATTTTACAGGACTCAGGTGGTAGAGCATCATAACTCCTGGGTCTGTTCCTTAGAAAAACTCCCAGAAGCACATTTATACAACTCTTCAAAGTTGTTGTTTGGGGGGAGGGAGGGTTCTGTGTTTTTTTTTTGTCTTTTTTTTGAGACAGGGTTTCTCTGTGTAGTTTTGGTGTCTGTCCTGGATCTCACTCTGTAGACCAGGCTGGCCTCGAACTCACAGAGGTCCACCTGGCTCTGACTCCTGAGTACTAGGATTAAAGGCGTGCGCCACCACTGCCAGGCTCCAAAGTTTTATGGTTTTGTTTGTGTGTTTGTTTGAGAGATAAGGTCTCCTTGTATTAGGATCCTCCGGCCTCCACCTCCAATGGGCTGTGATTCTGGACGAACACAAACAACTCCTGCTATACTCTAATGTCAGCAGGGATCCCTGGTCACCAAGTGCTCTTTCTCCCCCAACAGGACTGTCTCCAGTGTTTTTTCCAACAAGACACATTGACCTGGAACAACCAAATCCACTGTTCTTTTTGTGAAATCAAGCAAGAAACAGCTGTGAGGTCCACTATTTCCAAAGCACCAAAAATACTTGTTTTTCACTTAAAAAGGTGTGTGGGTTTTGATATCGTGTGGGCAGATGGTTTTCAACAATCTTACTGAGACGTCATCCACATACTAACAGTTTATCCATTTAATATGTAGCTTGTTCTAAAATCAGTGGCCAAGTGGGTGCTTAGCTGCAAAGTGTCCCGGGTTTAGTCCTCAGGGTCAGAGAAGTGAAAAATGAAGAGTCCAATCCATGTGCTGGACTGGATTTCAGTTTAATATGAAATTTCTTTTAAATTTTGTAATACATGCAACATGAAATCTATCATTTTGATCATTTCAAGTGTGTAATCCATTTGCATTAATTACCCTTACACTGTTAAATGCCAACCGCCACAATTTCCAGAACTTTTCAATACACCAGACAGAAGCCCTGTTCCCATTAAGCAATACCTTCACGTTTCCCCTCTCCCTCCTTCGTACTTCTCTAATGAATCTTCTGTTGATGTAGATTTACCTGTTCATTCACTAGCGTGACTGTGCCGGCTAGTGTTATGTTAGCTTGAAACAAGCTAGAGTCATCTGAGGAGGGAACCTCAATTGAGAAAATGCCTCCATAAAATCAGGCTCTAGGCAAGCCTGTAGGGCATTTTCTTAATTAGTGATTGATAGGGGAGGCCCAGCCCACGGTGGGTGGTGCTGCTTCTGAGCTGCTGGTCCTGGGTTCTTTATGAAAGCAGGCTGAGCAAGCCATGATGAGCAAGCCAGCAAGCAGCATCCCTCCGTGGCCTCTGCATCAGCTCCTGCCTCCAGATTCCTGCCTTGAGTTCCTGTCCTGACTTCCCTCAATGATCAACTGAGATGTAGAATGGTGAGCTAAGTCAACCCTTTCCTCCCCAAGTTTCTTTGGTCATGATGTTTCCTCAGAGCAATAGTAACCCTAAGACAGAGCTTGGTACCAGGGTAATGGGGTATTGCTGTGACAGACTTGATCATGTTATGGGGAGGATTGTAGGACTTTGGAACTTGGGGCTAGAAAAGCCAGTGAGTGTGGAGAGCTCAGTGGGCTATTTTGTAGGACCTTGGAAGATAAGGATGTTGAGAGCGCTGGAGACGATGGAGGCCTGACTTGTGAAGTTCCAGAGGGAAGTTGAGAGCTATTTAAAGACTAAGTTGGGCGGTGGTGGTGCACGCCTTGATTCCCAGCACTGGGGAGGCAGAGCCAGGTGGATCTCTGTGAGTTTGAGGCCAGCCTGGGCTACAGAGAGAGATCCAGGAAAGGCACCAAAACTATGCAGAGAAGCCCTGTCTCAAAAAAACCAAAAACCAAGACGGTCAGGGCTGCTGCATATTTGCTATTGTGAATTAGCTCTGTGTTCTGGTCAGCTGGGGCTGAAAACTCAGCCGTGATTAACAAGACCCAGGGCCACGGCTGTGAAACCTCTGCTTGCTGTGACTACTGATGATGGCTGGCTGGACGTGAGAAGTTAACAGTGATTAAAGAGACCAGTGTCCCTGGGTGAAACTGAGAAGTTTCCTCAGAGTCAGTTAGCCCACAGAAGCCGTGTTCCATAGGAGGCCAAGGTTGTACCTTGTGCTACCATCTGAACTTGGTGATGTGTAAGAGTCTCCCATGTGGTACTGGTTTTGAAGCCATGAAGGGGTCATGGAGAACAGCTGAGGCTTGGTGCTGCAAGAGGCCACTGGTGAAGGTCTAGCCTCAGTGGCAACTGAAGCCCAAGGATTGAAGGGGTCAGGGTGAGAAGTCTGTTTCACATTGTAATTTTAATATGAGATATTGGAAACAACAAGAAAGGAAAGGTTATGTTTAATAAATGATGTGTTTGTGTGTGGGCAAGGGATCACTTGTGCTAGTTTGTTTTTGTATCATCTTGCCACAAGCTATAGTCATCTGGGAGGGGGAACCTCTATTGAGAAAATACCTCTATAAGATCAGGCTGTAGGCAAACCTGTAGGGTATTTTCTTAATCAGTGATTGACTGGGGAGGCCCCAGCCCATTGTGAGTGGGGTCAGCCCTAGGCTGGTGGTCCTGAACTCTGTAAGAAGGCAGGTGGAGCAAGCCATGAGAAGCAAGCCAGTAAGCAGCATCCTCCATGGCCTCTGCATCAGCTCCTGCCTCCATGTCCCTGTCCTTGTTTGGGTTCCTGCCCTGCCTTCCTTCCTTGATGAACTGTAATGTTGAAGGAGGAGCCAAGTTAAACCCTTTCCTCCCCAAGTTGCTTTGGTCATGGTGTTTCCTCACAGCAATAGTAACTCTAACCAAATCAGTGATGTTGGATAGTGGCGGCATTAAAGGCATGCACCACTGCCACCGGGTCCTATTGGTTATTGATAATGAACTTAAACAGGGCAGGATCCTGGAGACAGGAGCTAATGCAGAGGCCATGAAGGGGTGCTGCTTACTGGCTTGCTCCTCATGGCTTGCTCAGCCTGCTTTCTTATAGAGCCGAGGACCAGCAGCCCAGGGGTGGCACCACCCACCATGGGCTAGGCCCTCCCCCATCAATCACTAATATAAGTGAGATAGCATTTAACTCACTCATGCTATGGTAATTTGGTGGTAGAATATATTTCTTAGAAGTGAAGTTGAAGGCCAGAGAGCTAGCTCAGTGGTTATCCCCCCCCATGACCTAGGTTTGACCTTTGGGAGCCATGATGGGAGGATGAGAGAAGCAGTCTTCTCTAAGTTCCCTCCACATGTGCACTTGGCCCACAATCCCTTCTCGCCAAGTTCTATGGCCCCATTAAGGAGCTTTGGCTTTGAGTTTATTAAGATAGATTTCCACACGGGCTGGAGAGATGGCTCAGCAGCTAAGAGCACTGGCTGCTTGTGCACAGGGCCAGGGTTTGGTTCCATCATGGCCCACCACCTCTAACTCCAGGTCCAGGAGATCCAAGGCCCTATTCTGACCTCCACCGGCAATAGGCACTCATGTGGTATACACGCATACACAAGGGCAAAACACTTATGTACATAAAACTTCAAAATAAGTGAACCTCTTAAAAATACATATTTACACATATGAAATTATTTTGTATATGAAATTGTACAAACGCATACAGTCAAATCTGTGACAACCAATGTATCAACATCTGTCACTCCAGAAAATTCTCTGATGGTTCTTTACCACCATGCTCTCCCTCTGCCATAAACCCAGGGAATTAAAGTATGTGGATGCCTCCCTCTGTGCGAGTGCTGTGTGTACGCCCATGTGGGCCGAAGGCTGATGTCTGGTGTCTTCCTCAGTCACTTTCGGGTATCAAGGCAGTGTCTCTGGCTTGAACCCTGAGCTCACCAATTTGGATAATCCAGTTAGCCAGCTTGTGCTTAGGGTCTCTGTCTCCTGAGTGCCGAGGTTACAGGTGGGCCACATGCCACCTGGCGTTGACATGGGTGCCAGATATCTAAACTCAGCTCCTTATGTTTGCACGGCAAACCCCTCTACCCCTGACCCACCCCCACAGCCCACCCCAGGGAATGACTCATCTGTTTCCGTCCCCACGGTTTGGCCTCTTAGAACACCCTACATCATGATGCTTTGAGCCTTGAGCCTGGCTCCTCTCACTGATAGAAGGCTTTTGAGGTGGCCTGTGTAGTATGTGGTAGGTCCTTGTTGTTGTGGTGTTCTAATCCACTTTGTAGATGTATAATTATTTCTCCATTAGCCAGCTGGTAGACATTGGCCTTGTTTTCACTGGGGCAAATGTGAAAAAAGCCAGTGTTGTGTGGCATGAATATCCCGTGTATAAAACACTTCATGTTTCCGGGGATGATCCCTGCCTAGGAGACCAGGTCACAGGGTGTCTTAGGGTTTTATGCTGTGAAGAGTCACCATGACCACAGCAGCTCTTATAGAGGACAACATGTAATTGGGGCTGGCTTATAGTTCAGAGGTTTAGTCCATCATCATCATGGCAGGAAGCATGGTAGCCAACAGGCAGACATGGTGCTGGAGAGGTAGTTGAGTTCTACATCTGGATCCTCAGGCAGCAGAGGGACAGTGACACTGGCCCTTCCTTTAGCTGCTGAAACCTCGAAGCCCACCCCCAGTGACCCACTTCTAACAAGGCCACTCCCTATGGGCCTATGGGGGCCGTTTTCATTCAAACTACCACACAGGGCATCCCCTTAGTTTTGGGGAATAGGGTTTCCTGCTTTATGGTCCAAGAATAACCCATTTCATCTAGTAATTCCCCTGCCTCATACCTAAATCAGCACATTTTCCTGAGTGAACATTTTTTTAAAAAGTTCTGAATGATTCTGGTAAGAGCTTAGATTTGGTGACTTCTACCGTGAAAGATTTGAACAGAATTTCTTACTAAAAAAAACATTGGATTTAGATTTAGATCTCAGCTTTGAAACCAGGATGCTAACAGTGCCAACACCAAGACAGGAGCCAGGTGTGGTGGCGCACGCCTTTAATCTCAGCATTCTGGAGGCAGAGGCAGCTGATTTTGGGGTGTGAGGCCAGCCTGGACTATACAGTTCTAGGTCAGTCAAGGCTACATAGTGAGACTCGGGGGAGAGGAGGGAGGGAGGGGAGGGAGGTCCGGAGAGGAGAAAGCAAGCTTGCCTTGCTCTCTCCACACCAGGCGAGGTTTGGTGAGGTCTACACTGTCTCTCGTTGACTCATTTTGGTGAGGCCAATGGGTTTGCCATTTATAAATGTATTACAATGAGGAAGTAATTTATATACCAGATAATTATCTCAAAAGTTACTCTAACTGTACTTGGAATGTATCTAGACATGTGGACCCCATTCATAAGTGGCTTACAAACTTATTTTGAATTTCATGCATTTGTTATTTCTTCAGGTTTGACATCCAGGGTACAGTAAAGAGGAAGCTGAGGACAGACGTCCGTTACCCACTCATGAACTTGGACCTCACGCCTTACATCTGTCCAATTTTCCGGAAACATCCTAAGTACAACCTCTGTGCAGTGGTGGTGAGTTTAATACTAAAACTCCTAATACTAAAGGATAGAACATCCTGTCTTCTGCCTCCTCCCTCCTTCCACTTGGTGGCCACGTGCACCCCTAGAGGTCAGGTCCATGTTAATAGTGTGCCTTGTGTAATCATGAAGCACTCTAGCCAGCACCCACACACCAGGAACAGTCCCAGGACTCCATGCTTGGCTGAAGCCTGTCCCAGGGGCTCCCTTTGGCTCTAAGTCAGCTATGATTGGTGCCGAGTCCTAGCAAAGGATTGGGTATGCCGTCCCCACAGTCCAGAATCTCCCGCATGAAACAGCCTGAGCAGAGAGTCATTCTCTGAGCTCCTGGATCATGGTGTGAGCTGTTGTGTCTGAGGGTGGGCGTCCTTCCAGAGTACAAGCCTGTCACAGGACCCTCTGATATGCTGAAATTGAATCTGCCAGTCCATCTTATTGCTCAGTAGTATATTGAAAAATGAAGTCAGATGTGGTGTTGTACACCACCAGCATTCATGAGGCAGAGCAGATCTCTTGAGTTCAAGGTCAGCCTGGTCTCCATAGTGTGTTCTAGGACAGCCAGGACTCATAAGTGAGACCTTGTCTCAGAAATATTAGATACAGAGGAGAAGGATTGTCTAGTCTTCCACATTCCATGGTTCAGAACCACCCTCAGACTTGCACAATGCTCACTTCTTATTCCCCTGTAGGCCGTCTGTCTCCTTTACAGCATTTACCCTTCCTCTCCACACAGCTATTTCCCCACCCTCTGAGGTTTGCAGTGGCTTCTTCCTCTCTCCCATCAGACGTAGATGCTAATTATTGTGAGTTTCGAAGGTGCTGTGTCCCGAGATCTGTTTCTGATTCAGGAAAACCAATTTTTTATTGTTTTGTTTTTGGTTTTTTTTTTTTTTTTTTTGGTTTTTTGAGACAGGGTTTCTCTGCGTAGCTTTGCGCCTTTCCTGGATCTTGCTCTGTAGCCCAGGCTGGCCTCGAACTCACAGAGATCCGCCTGCCTCTGCCTCCCGAGTGCTGGGATTAAAGGTGTGCGCCACCACCGCCCGGCCTTTTTTTTTTTTTTTTTTTAAATGTTCTTTGGGGTTTTGCCTGCATATTTGGCTGTGAGGATGCCACAGCCCCTAGAACTGGAGTTACAGACAGTTGTGAATTGCCACGATGGGTGTTTGGATCCTGGGCAAGCACTCTACCAACCCCCCAGTCCCCCCCCCCCCCCAGCTTTTTATTTGGACAAAAACAAGACTTTCTACAGGTGTTTAACAGAAACACCAGCATTCCCCTGTACCGCCACAAAGAGCCAGGCTGGTCCAGGATCCACAAAACGTTAGTTGGTTTCAATGTACAACACCATAAACTGTCACTGGTGGTGCACACCTATGATCTAAGCACTCAGCAGGTAGAGGCAGGACCAGAAGGTCAAGGTTATCCTCACCTGTATAAGCTTGAGGCTAGCCTGGGCCACATTAGACTGTCTTGAAAAACTGTTTTTTGAAGGAAAACACATATATTCTGAGTATACAATTTGGCAAGTTGTCCAGTGAGCACATCCATGCAGTAAGAACAGGGCTCATGCTGGGCAGTAAGTAACGCACGCCTTTAATCCCAGCACTTAGGAAGCAGAAGCAGGTGGATCTCTTGAGTCTGAGGCCAGCCTGGTCTACAGAGTTAGTTCCAGGACAGCCAGGGCTACAAAAAGAAACCTTTTCTGCGGGGGCAGGGGGAGGCTCAGCCATTACCATCAGTGTGTAATGGTCCTTATTCCTCTTCAGGTGCGGAAACCAGACCTCTAACACAGTAACTCTGCTTTATGCAAATGCATCCTGCAGTAGGTCCTCATGGGATCTGGTCCTTTTGCTCAAAATTGTTGTTAATTTCAGTTACAGTTCTACTATCCTATAGTTATACTATAGTTCATTCTCACCACTGGGTAGGCTTCCATTGCGTGAGTATTGCTGCACTTGCTCTTGCACGTTTTGGTGAACAGATGTACATGGACTTTTGGAGTCTATTTTTAGGAGTCGGTACTGGCGGGTGGGTATGCACATGCCAGCATTAGTAAACAGACTAGTGGCATTCCAAAGCAGTTGCTCATGTTCACCTCAGTAGCAGCAATGGGAAGTGTGGTCGCCTTAAGTTTCTGTTGTACTCGGGAGCTTCCTGTTGGGCCATCTAGCTGCTTGCGTGCGCGGTGGGACAGCACTTGAACTTGCTTCCTGGGTGCTGGGATTTCAGGTGTGTCCTAGCCTGTCCTACCGAGGTTTGTTTTCTGTGTCTTTTGCCTGTTTTTCTCTCCTGTTGTCTGTGTTTTCTTACTGTGTTACAGGTCTGAGTACAGACTGCTTGCCTGGCCTGTCTGCATCTCTAGGTTCACATCTGGGTAAAAAACCAATCTTTCCAAACTATAGCGATTTACTTCTTCACCTAACATGCCTCAGCAGGGGCACGTCAGGGCAATGACTCACCCAGAGGGGACACACGCCCACTGACCTAAGGCCCCCTCAGAAGTCCCCATCTATGAGGGTTCTACCATCTCACACTTTGGGAACAAGGTCTGCATATGTGGATCTATGGGTGGCACCGTTCCAGATCATAGTGTGTGTCTGTACTCAACACATACAGTCAATATCTGCCTGGCTGTAAACTTTTGGTCTTTCAGACTTAAAAATACTTATTTGGATAACTGTGAGCTTCTCTTAGGTGTGTACAATTCAGTGGGATTTGGTGTCTGCTTACATAGTTGTCCATTATCATCACAATTATTCTAGAACAGTTTCAGTATTCCTAAGAGTCTTCTCTACTCATGTCTTCTCCCCACCAGCCCCTGGCAGCTAGCCAGGGACTTCCTGTTTCTCTTGGTGTTCCACCTTAGGCACAGCACACAATGGAATCACACAACTGCCTCATGTTGGGTTTTTGTTTGAGACAGAATGTCGATATGTAGCCCTGGTTAGCCTGGTACTCATTCGGTAGACCAGGCTGGCCTTAAGTCCCTCTGCCTCTAAAGTAGGTTAAAGGAATGAGTGTTGTTTCTCAGCATACTTTTAAGGTTTCCCTGTGCTGTAGCATGTACTTTTGTTTCTTTTTGTTAACATTCTACTGTGTGAACATACCACATTTCATTCATTCATTGGGAATACTTGGGATGACTCTACTTTATGACTGGTACCATTAATGCTGCACACAGGGTTTTGTGTGGACAGTTTCTCCAAGAGGGAATTGCTAGACATATGCTAACTGTACACTTAACCCTTGAAGAGTCGTCAACTTGATTTCTAATGTGATAGTGCCATTTGCTCCACCACTACATCATGTTCCAGCTCACTCATTCTCCTTGCTTGTTATTAACCAGCTCTCAAAATAGTTAACCAAAAGCCAGGCGGTGGTGGCACACACATTTAATCCCAGTACTCGGGAGGCTGAGGCAGGCAGATCTCTGTGAGTGCAAGGCCACCCTGGTCTACAGAGTGAGTTCCAGGACAGTCATGGATACACTGAGAAGTTGTCTCGGAAAAAAAAAAAATTCTCTCTGTAATCTACCTACCTACCTAGCCATCCATCCGTCCGTCATCCACCTACCTACATCTATCTTATCTTATCTATCTATCTATCTATCTATCATCTATCTATCTATCATCTATCACCTACCTATCTTTATCATCTACCTACCTACCTAGGCTCTTGTAGCCCAGGCAGTTCTTGAACCACATCCCAAGTACTAGGATTACAAGATATTCACCATACTGGATAGCTTGTGGTTTTAAGTAGCATTTTCTTAATTACCTATGATGTTGAGCATCCTTCACATGCTTTGTCCCTGGTTGGTATTTTGTTTTTGGTTTTCTTTTTCAGGTAGTTTTCCCTGCTCGCTCAGTCTGGCTTCCTATGCTAGGATTTCAGCCACCATGCCTAGTGTTAATGGTTTCACATTTAAAAGATTATTTATGCATGTGTGGAGGCACATACATGGAGTGCGCATGTGGAGGTCAGAGGACAGCCTGCAAGGATCAGTCCTCCCACCATGTGGGTTCTACCCAGCTCAGGTCATCAGGCTTGATGGCAAGTGCCTTAGCCTGTCCTTCCATTGAGGTGTTTCTTGTTTTCTGGAACCTAAGCCCTGCTCTCCAGGGCTCCTATGTGGCCTCAGTTCGAGTGCTCTGGTTACCACCCACCTCCTTGTGCTCGGCAATCTGCTTCCTGCATTTTTATGATATGAAGAGACAAGATGGAGATTAAGGAAACGTAAATGGGTATCTGCCTCCTTTGTGCTGGTTCTGTAGTGCACAAGGTATCTCCTAAAGGCTGGAAGGGGCTGGATCAATGGCTCAGTGGCTAAGAGCACTGGCTGCTCTTGCAGAGGTCCTGGGTCTGGTTCCCAACACCCACATTGTGGCTCACAACCATCTGTGACTCCAGTTCCAGGGGACCCAAAACTCTCCTCTGGCCTCTGCATGCACCAGCACACACATGGTGCTCAGACATACATGCAGGGAAACATACATTAAATAAAAAAAGCTAGACATTTTCTTTTTGAGACAGGATCTCACTACATGATTCAAGCTTTCAACTTATGCAGCCATCTTGCCTCAACCTTCCAAGGGCCTCGGCCTCCTCAGCGGTTGATTTCAGCCGCCATGCCTAGTGTTAATGGTTTTATAGGATTTGAGGATTATAGGTATAAGCTACATCTGGCTTAGGACATGTTAAGTCTTCCTTCATGCTGTTCAGATGCAGGATTAGGGCCTGCAAGGCAAAAGCATTTCTAAGGTTGTCACTTGATGTTATTTTCTTTCCTTTTGTAAAAAGCCAGCTAGAATATATTTTAGGCCATGACGGTTGTTTGTTTTTTTGTTTGTTTTGTTTTGTTTTAACCACTACTCAGTTTTACTGTTGCAGCATTGAGTCACTGAGGCCAGGCTTCAGTTCCCAGCATACACAACCATTGGTATCTCCAGTTCTAGGGGATCCAATGCTCTCTTCAGGCCTCCATGGACACTGGGCATTATGTGGTGCAAATATGCAGGCTGAACACTCATATGTATAAATTACCTCAGAATTTTAAAAGCTTATATAGGTTGTCTGACTTCCTTTATAATTCTATTAAAGAGTTAATGAGTACAGTATATAAGCAATTCAAAGTCAGACTTTGTCTAAGACTTGACAAAACTATTTCCCCAGTATAAGAGACAACTTAAAAAGCTTTTTGGCCTTGTCATTTTTATTCTGTCAGAGCGTTTGCAGGTGGAAACCATGTCTTACACCCTTTCTTTCCTAGAACCACTTTGGTGATCTGGATGGTGGCCATTACACTGCCTTCTGCAAGAATGCAGTAACTCAGGCCTGGTACAGCTTTGACGATACCCGAGTCAGTGAGATTCCAGACACTTCAGTCCAAACGGCCACAGCCTATCTTCTGTTCTACAGCTGCCAACCCTTTTCCATCCCGATACAGACACGCAAGAGCTAGGACAGCGCTCCCGATCACTGCAAACAAGCCATCAGAAACTGCAGGGAAATGTGCTTTGTCAATTAAATCTTTACCACCCACTTCCATCGCTAAGGTCTGTAAGTCTCACAGACAGCCTCTATAAGACAAGTCTGCAGCATAAGGAGATAGGTCCCTGCTCGCTAAGGGCACATGGAAGCCATGCACTGCCATCACAAAGGGCGGCATGGAAGCCAGGCACTGCCATCACAAAGGGCGGCATGGAAGCCAGGCACTGCCATCACAAAGGGTGGCATGGAAGCCATGCACTGCCATCACAGGGGCACATGGAAGCCAGGCACTGCCATCACAAAGGGCGGCATGGAAGCCAGGCACTGCCATCACAAAGGGCGGCATGGAAGCCAGGCACTGCCATCACAGGGGCACATGGAAGCCAGGCACTGCCATCACTAAGGGCACATGGAAGCCAGGCACTGCCATCACAAAGGGCACATGGAAGCCAGGCACTGCCATCACAAAGGGCACATGGAAGCCAGGCACTGCCATCACAAAGGGCGGCATGGAAGCCAGGCACTGCCATCACAGGGGCACATGGAAGCCATGCACTGCCATCACTAAGGGCGGCATGGAAGCCATGCACTGCCATCACAGGGGCCCAGGAACTGCAGGTTTCAAAGGTCAATGTTTCATGCAGCGGGTTTCTATCATATTTCATAATTGTAAGTATCAAGTTATCTTCCAAAAAATTTTATACTTATTTTGTCCTATGTGGATGTGGAAGTCGGAGGGTAACCTGTGGAAGTTCATTCTCTTTTCCACTGTGTGGGTCCTGGGATTGAACTTGGGTCCTCACTGAGCCATCTAACCAGCCCAGCGCCAATAATTTCTGTTTACACAGGTGAGTGCATAGCTCAGTGGTAGGATGTTTCCTCAGCATCACTAGCACAGGGGAAAAGTTCAGTGCAAAAGTGACCCGAAGGGCTGGAGATGGCCCAGTGGCTCATAACAGCCTTTGCTGCTAGCAGAGGACCTGGGTTCAGTTGTTAGCACCCATAAGGTGTGTACACACACACACACACACACACACACCACTAATACATATAAATCTTAAGGACTTGAACCCATGCTCCAACCTTCCCCTGTAAGTTAAATAACTGCTCTCAGAATCTTTGTTTAGAAGAGACTCCGAAAACAATAAGGACTGCTGCACTGCCCCTGGCTGCCTTCCAGAACTTGAAGGTTAAGATCCTATTGCTGAGGACACCACATACTTCAGATACAGGACTTGAAGGACTCGAGCTGAAACCGACCTGGAAGCCTGCCCTTGAGGACTAGCTCTCGTAGTATCCCAGCATGCTATGTATGCTGCCAAGAGAGGAAAGCAATCAGTAGTCAGAGTCAGCTAGGACACCTATAAACCACAATGGCCAATGAGGCAAGAAACCCAGCAGGTGCGATGGTGGCACCTGTATCATGCGGACAGCCAACAGCTGTCTAATTGGACTAACCGGATTTAAACTGTTTAATAGGAGGGAATCCATGCCTGGTAAACTGAGTCAACTACCCATAACTGGTGAGGTGATGGGCCCTAGGGGAGAACCTCCTCCTGCCAGTGTAATTGCCAACTTTATCCTGAGTCCTATCCACAGGAAGTGCAGCTCCCAACTTCATCCTGAGTCCTACTATCCGCAGGAAGTGCAGCTCTCCACCCCCATCAAAGAAGCTTTCTGTGGCAGATGGAGACATCACAGAGGTCACTACTAATCACAGTGAGAACAAATGACCAAGTGATACCTGGCCCCAGAAGACACACCTACAGCACAACCTCTATATCTGCGGCTCAGGGAACATCTGGGAGGGGGGCAGGGCATCTGCTATGAGACAGTACCTTTGTACATGACCCATAAAATCTCACAAGGAGACTTGCACAGAGACACTACCAACTGACGTGCCAGCATAGATGGGGATAATCTTACAAGGTCCCATCCCTAGATGAAGAGCTACAGGCAATTAAAGCTACTTAAGAATGGAAAAATCGCCTAGCGGAGATGGTGCACACCTTTAATCCCAGCACTCGGGAGGCAGAGCCAGGCTGATCTCTGTGAGTTCGAGGCCAGCTTGGTCTACAGAGTGAGATCCAGGACAAGTGCCAAGACTACATGGAGAAACCCTGTCTTGAAAAACAAAAAACAAACAAACAAAAAAGAATCAATCTTCTCCAGGGATGAGAACCCTGACATGTTATACAATCTCAAATCGTTAGCTCTAAAAACATATGAGCAACACTTCTGGACTGAGCAGGGTATGTGTGTGAGAGAGAGAGAAACATAAGAAGTAATGAATTTGAAAGAGTTGGGGAACACAAGAGGCATTGAGAAGGTGAGGTGGAAACCCAACTTTGTTTAGTGTTCACCGATGTCCTGAGGAAGGTGAGGACTCCGCCGCCGCAGCTCTGGAGGACGGCCTGCTTCTCACCACAGTAGCTCACTTTACACATACACCAACTCCGCACTTGACCGCAACTCTTCAGAATTGGGAGGAGTCTGGGGGTTATTTGAACTGACTTCCAGCTCTTAAACCTGAGTACCACTTGTGGGGAGAGTGGAACTGAGTCCTCCCTCTACAGAATAACTAAAGCAGACATCAGGGTGGTGGCTGAAGTCTGTGTAAAAGCACTTAGGCAGGTGGACCTCTGTGAGTGCGAGGCCGGTTGGTGAGTTCTACAAAGCAAGACCCTGCCTCAAAACTAGGCGGGAAGGGAGGGGAGACAGAACACTTACAAGATTTCAAATGATTCTTTTTCATTAAGATTTTAATGTAGATGTAAATGAATCTTTTTAGAAAATTAAAGTCTCCATTTTTTCTTTTAGAATAAAGATTTAGTGCACAAATACAGCCCGGAGCCAACAGAAAAAGAGTTTTGCCTTGTCACTTCCCCAGGAAAGCCCTGCAGCTACCTAAAAAAGGCCAAAAGAGACCAACCAACACTCCTTTCTCGGCTTTCCACAGAAGGACATGTTCAACTATATACAGCGATCTGATGTGCAAGAGTGCAATAAATATGTACATATACATTCCTATCTGCGTTAGGTCATTCTAGAATATTCAGAGTGGATCAAGCTGGGACTAGAAATGAGAAAAGGCTATAGCAGCGAATAGGAAAATGAGGGTTACAATGGTTTGATACCAATAGAATAATAAATGTCTGGCTAATGAATTATTTTTAACTTTGGGGCAGACTAAAAAAGTTGTTTTGAAATAAATGATACCTGTAAGGGATGCTTACTATGATACTTGTTAAATGTCAGTTTTTTGTTGTTTGATAACAGCACTGACCTTATTATTGGTGCTAGTAACACAGCCCCCAGTATTCTGGAATTCCTCTACATAGCCAGTTGCAGTGATCCGTTATCTCTGTAAGCATTAGGAGATGTGCCTCTGTGGTTTGAAAACATCAACGCGCTCATAACCTACACCTCTTTATGTGGCTACATCAGTTATGCGTGGTCCCAGTGAAGTATAAAAGAGGATATAGGCTGCTGAGGACTTCACAGAAGACACAGAAATGTCGGAAACTTCATGGTCATCAAACTTAAACCAGCGCTGCCTGGCTGCGTTTTTACAGTAGGCAGTGTAGTGGCCTCCATCCAGCCCGCCGTAGTGGTTCTGTGGCAAGACAAAACAGACACCGAATCATTACTTAGCACGAGTCAGTCCGTTCCAAGTCTTGGCTGTTGTCACTCTCCTGTGAGGGAAGAAAGTACTGGAGCCTCCTGTTTTGTTTTTAAAAATGTCTTCAGTTCAACAAGATACTTACTGAAACAGAAAACAAGTTATATTTCTTCAAACTGTTCTTTGGACCAATAACATACTGTGACAAGTCAAGATTTTCTAGTGGGAAGTCCACAGATGTTTGCAGCTTCTGCTTCCACCTGCCATCATAGGAGAATCTGCAGAACAGACACCACAGGAAAGACAAGAGTGCATTGTCATTGGTTGGTGTGGATTTCAAGGCAAGCTCTTAACTCTCCCATCAGCTGGGAAGTCTTGGGGCCATAAGATGCTCAGTGGGGAAGTGTTTGCCATGCAAACCTCATGACAACCCGGGCTTGATGCCCAGAACCCATGGAGAAGTGACTCCACAAAGTTGTCCTCTGCATGTGTGGCATGACAGGTATCTGCCTGCACTCAATGCACAGAAGAAAATCACTTTAATAAGGCCTCTGTTTTAGTAATGGAAAGCTAATGCAGACACGGTTCATTTCTCTCTTACAAAGGAGATGGGGGTTGCAGAGAGTAAATGATGTGCCCAAGATGGAAAGCAAGAATGGCAGAGGCAGCTCCACATTCGGGTCTCCTATTCCTGGACCAGCTACAGCACTAACCACAAAGGCACGGAGGAGGAGCTGAGGGAGAGCAACTCTAGAATTATGCCTGTACTTGGGGAAACTAGAACTAAAATGAACTGCAGGGAGACCTATGTTCAGCTCCTTTCAACATTCTGTGTAATGACCTCACAGTTGTTATTCACAATGTCAAGGGTCAAACCCACAGCCTCATATATACAAAAAGAACAATGAACTGCTTCTCAACAACTCAATTCTACACAGTTGCTTTAGAGCCTTTATAGTTCTACAACTTTTTTTTTTTTTTTGGGGGGGGGGGGGTTGTTGTTTTTCTAGACAGGGTTTCTCTGTGCAGCTTTGCGCCTTTCCTGGATCTTGCTCTGTAGACCAGGCTGGCCTCGAACTCACAGAGATATGCCTGCCTCTGCCTCCCGAGTGCTGGGATTAAAGATGCGTCAGCACCGCCTGGCCCTAGTACTACAACTTTTAACAGAACCAATCTATGTTCACTTAAAAACACATTTCTATTGCCATAATGCTCCAAGTGACAGCTGACACCCTTGTCCAAACTAACTGTAAACTACAGAAAACCGAACATTTCAACGCTGAAACTGACATAAACAACTGGCTATAAATTTCCTGTAACCCAATATAAATGCTTGCTTCCAAACAAAATATACTTCACACAAAGATGAGACTTTGGGGTTTTTATAAAGCCAATTCAGGCTGGGTGTGGTGGTGTGCACATGAAGGGAAGAAGACTGAGTCATGCTGGCCTGAGGGGTGTGGGCAAGAGCCTGTCTCTGAAGAGAAAAGAGGAAGAAGCCTAACCTCCTCTGTGGACTGGAGCGGAAGGAGAGCAGTGCTGCTCAGCTCTCCTGGGTAGACCCTGTCCTTCCACGTGGTTAGACTGGAGACCAGAGTGCTTGAACTCAGATTCACCTGCCTCCCAGAGGCGCTGAGTTCAAGGCCAGCCCGGTCTACAGAGCAAGTTCCAGGACATACACAGAAACTATGTCTCAGGGAAAAAAAACAAACCAAAAAAATCATGGCTTTTCCCCTTAAAAAGTATTTTGGGCAGGTGAGATGGCTCAGTGGGCTAAAGCAGTCATGTGCAGCCCTGATGAACGGAGTTTGGTCTCTAGATCCCAGAATGCAGCCGGAGAAAGCTGACTTTTGACAGTTATCCCTTACCTCCATACATGAGCTAAGGGACCCATGCCCTGCACTCATACACTTTTTTTTAAAGCATGATTTTACATTTTGATTTTTTTTTTTTTTGACACAAGGTCTTGTGAAGCCCAGGCTGGCCTTGAACCCATGGTCATCCTGTTTCCATTTCTCAAATGCTGAAATTACAGGTATGTGCCACTACATTACACATGATTAAATTAATTTTGTTATAGTTTATAATTTGAATGTTATTAAAAATATTTTATCATTTTATGTGTATGGATGCTTTGCCACATGTGTGCCTGGTGCTCATAGATGCCAGAAGAGGGCATTAGATCTCCCCGAACTAGAGTTGCAGGCAGTTGTGAGCTGCCATGTGGGTGTTGGGAATTGAATCCAGGTCTTCTGTAAGAGCAGCCAGTGACCTTAACTACTGAACCATCTCTCCAGCACCTAAATATTAATTTTTATCTGCTAATCTGTTTTGGAATTACACTGTGTAACATTTTACTTGACGTGACTTAAAATTTCATTATCTGAAATGCAATTTAGTCCCATTATTTTTAAGAAATGAAATCTCGTAATAAGTACTGTTACTCTGCTGTCATGTCTGCCAATAACTGTCACTACAGAACCTTCATTAGGTTTTCTTAAAAGACAATACAGAACTGCAAATTACATAGACATGACAGTTCCTCCATCAACTGCTAGTGCACAGGCAGAGGCCTTACCGTTTTAGGTGTACCAGCAGCACAGGTGGCAATTTCCAGATCTCTATCTTCTTTAGAGAGTCCCGCCGAGCTCGGCAATGGCTGCAGTAAAACCTATTGTTATCCGTGAGCTTTTCTTCTTTGGAAAATAATCTAAGGCAGTCCTAGTGGGAAAAAAACACACAGTGAATACTCAGTGATTCATTCCTCATGGAGTGCCGGGATGCCCTCTTCAGTAAGAGTGCTGCAGACACAGGGACACCTCAATAATAGAGTTAAGTGTCTGTGATAAGGAGGGACGCAACCAGTGTACAGAGTCAGCACAGCACAGGCAAGGACCTCTACCCTGGGTCTGGTGGATCATGGTGGACTTACTGGAGGAAGTGACGGCTGGAGGTGTCAACACAAGCTATTCTATTAGCTCCACTGCTATCGTGTCCGATCACCAAGTAAAGTACATGGAAAAAGTTAATGTCAAGTACAACTTCCTAAGTGAGCTTTCTGGACGGGGTTTAGCTGAGTGATGAAGGGCCTCTCTATGTTCACTACTGCCAACAAACTTCTGGCTGCCCCTGGTGACATTGCCTATATTCCCAGCACTGTAGAGTCAGAGACAGAAGAACAGCTTGAGTTCAAGGCCAGTCTGAGCGACATAGCAAGACCCATTTCAAAAAGTCAAGGGCTATAGGCTAGAGAAATGGCTCAGCAGTTAAGGAAACTTGATCTTACTGAGGACCTGGGTTTGATTCCCAGCACCCACATGGCAGGTCATACCCACCAGCTGCAGGGAATCTAATGTCCTCTTCTGGCCTCTGTAGGCAATGCATGCAGTTGGTGCACAGACACATATTGGCAAAACACTCAAACACAAAAAACAGAAAGATAATAATAAACAAAATTCCCAAGGGCTAGGATGTAGCTCACCTATTCTCCTGTCAGGATGAGACACACTTCCTCTTTTTTTTTTTTTTTTTTTTGGTTTTTCGAGACAGGGTTTCTCTGTGTAGCTTTGCGCCTTTCCTGGAACTCGCTTTGGAGACCAGGCTGGCCTCGAACTCACAGAGATCCGCCTGGCTCTGCCTCCCGAGTGCTGGGATTAAAGGCGTGCGCCACCACCGCCCGGCTGAGACACACTTCTATGCACACACAATAACATTTTTTTCCTTTAATTTTTTTTTTAAAGATTTATTTATTATGTGTACAATGTTCTGCCTGAATGTATGCCTGCAGGCCAGAAGAGGGCGCCAGATCTCATTACAGATGGTTGTGAGCCACCATGTGGTTGCTGGGAATTGAACTCAGGACCTCTGGAAGAGCAGCCAGTGCTCTTAACCTCTGAGCCATCTCTCCAGCCCCACAATAACATTTTTATCAACACACTTCCCTCATCTTAAGCTTACCTGTAATGTGCATTTACTTGTGGACGCTAGCGGCAAGGACAAGTACATGAAGGCCTCAAATGTGCGAGACTTTTTGTGACAGGTGAGGCACTGTACCGTGGACTTGAACTGACCCTGGAAAAGTGCGACAATAATGGACTCGTTGAGCTGCTTGTGCTTCTGCCAAGCATGTTCGGCCGCTTTCAGGTCATCCAGGTGGTCGTTGTTCTCTTCCTTATGCCGCTTCCGGTTGTCAGCCTGGGAACAAGAACAACGCAGTGCTGTAGCAGCTGTCGTTGACCGCTAAGTCTGGGCCAGGTCAAGGAAGAACACTAAAAACATTTACACAGTTAGCGACACCGAGGAGTTCTGATCTGACTAACCACTACCAAAAAAAATTAATTCTACCAACCAAAACCCACTCTACTGAAAGGATGTGACTTGAACTTCTTTTTGTTTTGTTTTGAGACAGGGTCTCACGATGTAGCTCTGGCTGTCCTAGAACTCTTATGTAGACCTGGCTGGCTTTCAACTCACAGATCTGCCTGCCTCTGCCTCCCAAGTGTTAGGATTAAAGGTGTGCTCCACCATGCCTGGCCTTTATCACACCTTCTGGATGTCATTTTACTTGAAGTGTGTAAGAGGCCTGAAGTGTAGACTACACACTGAGTTAAAGCGTAGAGGCTACTCTTGCAGGGTCAGTGGCGACTGGTCGATGTACTGAGAATAAATGACTACTAAATGCCCAGCCATAAACGGATCACACACATCACCCACACTAAGGTTCATGGAGGAACAGTGGAAGGAGGGAACAGCAGAGAGGTGTGCATGACACAACTATTTACACTCTTTAAGTCAGCAGCCGTGACTGCCCATATCAGAGCTGAGCAGGACTGACCAGTAAGTACCAAGAAAGGGAAGG